GTGGCAAGCAAGCGACAAACATATAGCGCACAAAAATCATAACAAGTCTTTGTTTACAAAACAACAACAACTCGTACAGATCTGTCTACTTCTGCTTGTCCTATTCTTCAATTTATTCTGTATCGGTAACACCTAATCATACGCTTTTTTTTTACATATCTGTCTGTTTTGAACATATCGATGTTATTTTTACGTTTAGTGAATCTAGCGCTCTAAAAAATAATTGTTCAAACTTATTTTGAGCGGATCAGCTCGAAAGAGACTTTTAGTGGCATTTCTGAAGGTAACCAACAGAGAACTGTTAATATTCTGCCTCCCGTAACTTAAACTAGATCTGTACTATTACTAGACCAAACTAGTACTAGACCAAGTATTAATCACGTTATCACGTAAAGTGACGAGTATCTTATCACTTATCGGACGATATTAATATAGGGATCAGTTCCGCTCACAGTTGATATCACTGAACTGTATCTGTATCACTACGTTATCTTCATGTCAGTCATTGAAAATAAGAAAGAAGAATCATATTGAATTGTCATGGCTGCTAAATGCTATCAAGTTTGAGCGAAAATTGTCGTCCTTTTCGAGGGGACTTCGAGGTTGGATACTCTCGATACGGCGGACGCTCCTAATCTGGATAGACAGCTACTGGGAGTACTCAAAAGTTCCAGCCTCCTGGTCCCAATTTACATAGACCAAAACGGTAACTGTTCACACTAGGTTTGGCAGCTCGTTCAGATTAGACGACCTCTTTTGATCAACGGAAATTACTAATAGCAAATAAATGGTTAAGCACACATATTATCAATTGAGTCTAACGTGCGCCTTTTCCAAGGTGGAAACTTTGTTTACGTTTTAGTACTGCGCGTGAAATCTTGGGATAAAGGTTGAGACAGGAGCAAACCGTTTGTTTTCCCGCACGACGTTTTATAACGGACGGAAATAAGTTTTTTGCCCCTACTGCATGCGTTAGTATAGAAACGTCTTTTTTCTGAACTATATATTTATGAGTATTGGGATAGGCATATTGATTTGATTATCTCCGACGATTCTATAACGTGGTGAGACGTGAAACAAACTAAAGAAACATCACGAACTTTGGAAAATAGTTCCACGTGTAGTTAAGTCTCTCATTTACAAGCTATCGGTTAAACTTCTGCATAGAATGTCGGACATCACTACTTGTACTTGAGCCTGTATCGAGAGCATTCTCTAAGTGCTACCTTGATCTCGGTCTTCTTTCGGGTGTACATACGAGTGCATGTACATGTAGCTAGAGATTATTTTCTTGCAGACAATTGCAGCACCAATGGGACGTCGAGGATTTGGTGTGATCGCACAGACGTGACGATTGAACCACGTTTGGCTTCGTACGTGAAGTTACGTTGCACCGTACCGCTACTCTGTAGGCATTCTACATTACCGTACTAGGGTTATCGTCCCAACTGTGTCAGAGCCCGAAACCGCTAAAATGTAGTGAGCGCAGTACTTGCAGCTTCCCGTTGAACCCTTCGATGTCGTCAATAAAATATTCTAGATAGATAAAACCCGATCAAGTATTCAACAAGATAGACTTCAAACTGTTAATTTACTCACTGAAGTGTGCTATTTTTGTCTGTTAGGTTTGACTCTAAAAAACTCAGATATTGCTAGCGGAACTCAAAACATGGAACTCAGTGACAAACGAGGGCAGCGCACTTCGTGTTGCGCTCGGACACAAAATCTGTTTTTTGGCATTTCCTTGTTCGGGTCAAGCATTGTGAAAATAGAAGTTAGGGATACCACAGCCTTAAAGGGAACTATCATGGGTATAAACGTTTCGGTGCTTCTCACAAGGAACAATAATAATCCTAATAATGTGTCAATTCGGAAAGATCTAGCTTTCCCTGCAAGATTATTAATAAAGGTCGTTATAACGCTCTCGTCTAATATATTAGGAGCAGGCCCGGTTTTTTTTTGTGAGCA